AATAAATTCAATATTGACAGTAATGGCTCAAAGTCTACCTCATTTTTATCTCCACATATGCTGAAGGAGCTTCCTCAAACATCTCTGTTATTTCTAGGAGTCCCTGGAAGTGTTTCTTGTCAGCTCACAGTTTACTCAGGGTATTTTGCTCTGGACAGACCTGAATATGTCCTTTGCCTTGAGGGAGGCCACACACTTTGTAATTATTTTTGAATAATTTGCATGTGTCACTGGGCGTAGGTCAGGGTTTGCTTTCCTGAAGCTGACAAAGCTGGAAGCCCTCATGGTGGAAAAAGGCAGCCTCCCTAGCCCCTACCTCTCTCATCATCCTCCTGAAAACAGTTCCTTCAGCTCTCGTTGGTAGAACCACTCTCTGCAGTGCTCAGACACCGGCTCATGGAGAGGAGTGTGGGACCCATATCATAAATAGTCTGTATTATCTTTCTAGGTCTCATGCTTGGTCTCCTCGCTCCTTATAAGCATTCTCCACTGAGTTCTCATCCTGGTGTCCATGTTCTCCGCTGTGTCTCTCTCTCCAGCATTTATATGTCTGGGGACATCTAAGCATGCTTGAGTTGGAAGAGTGTATTGTCAAGGTGACACTTGGAATGCATTGTGAGGAGTTCTCATCTTCCAGTATTCCTATCCAGCTCTGCCTTTTCTTGACCATCAGCATTCAGCAACTCCATTGCCTGGGAACATGTTAAAAATGATCAGAATTTTGATCATCATCCTATCACTACTGAACCATTATCTGAGCTTCTATTGATAATCCCACCATTTAACAGGTGACTTGTACATGCTAAAATTTGAGAAACTCTGGTCTTTAATAGCCTAGTACTCCCTAAAATTTATTTATGTGAACTAGGTGGTTTCCCCAACCTACAAACATTAAAAAAACAACTAAATAGAATTAGAAAATGATCTTGGGTTTATTTTGGAATTTAACCTATATGGTCTCTAAATGCCCTCTAATCAAAGCTATAAAAAATTGGACATAAATAGGAGTAACTCTCTTAGAGTCATGTATTAATGCAATAACTCAATCAAATGGGTCTGACATGACCTTTATGCCATGTTGCTGGGCTTCTGTTACACAGACTTATCATGATACTATTTACTAAGAAGAGAAGCTTGGCTTAAATACATTTCATTCCATGGAAAGATACCCAGATACTTCTTCAGAGAGCTCTTTAATCAATTTCTTGACTGCTGAGCTTCAGTATTAGTTAAAGTGCTTATAAATATTGTGGGGATGATCTTTCTACTCCTAATTTTCAGTTTCAGGAAAACTCAATTCAATAAAACTCTATGTATGTATACAGATACGCACACACACATTTGTGTATATACAGAGATTGTATGATTTTACCTATATACATGTACATACCTAATATGTATATGTGTGCACCATAAGTGCTTAGTGAACAAGTCACAAATGTGGAAAAATAAATAATTGCATTTATCCTGACAGATACATTTAGTTAAGCCACAATAACCTGCCAACCCTTAATTAACAATCTAGACTCAGTGATATATTCAGCCCTAAATCAGGCACTGTGGCCAAGGAAATAGAAAGTCATGACTGGTTTAGTCATGGTATCAACATTGCTAAGATGGGGAGTTTCTGGGTCCTTTGAAACAAGCAGATAGAGGATAGACAGGGACAGATAGATGCTAGGAAAGCCATGATCAAGTTTCCATGATAATTTCTGTCCCCGGCAGAGAAGACAGCTTGTGTAAGTTCCTTCAAGGTCATGGACTCCTGGCAGGAAAGTGGGAAGCAACTGTTATGGCTAGAGAAAGTAACAACTGAAGTCTCTGACCATTAAGACCGCAAGAACCAGACCATAATTATGTCCCACTGAAGCAAGTGCAAAATTGTTTCATAATCAACACTCTTTCAAAACTAAAGCAGAGACCTGTATTCTCATGGAGTTGAGGTATGGCACCTGGAAGATACAAATAATCAGAGTATACATGCAGAAGTCTCACAAAAAGCTTCACTTAAAAAGACAAATGTGGGCCCTTCCTGGTGGTTCAGCAGGTTAAAGCCCTGCACTAAGAAGCTTAAGCCACTTCCACATGAGTTCGATCCCCGCCTGCCCCGGAGGTGACCACATGGCGTGGCAGACCTCTCCTGACCCGCCACTGCTCTCCCCTCAGCAGTGGACTTCGTAGATCTGCCTGTTCTGCTCCCCAACTCTGTCCCTGGTGAATCTTCTCACCCTCCGCATCTCTGGTCTGTATCCCAGTTCTGTATGAATAAAATAAATAAATCTTAAAAAAAAAAAGACTAATGTTTTCTAAGATCTAAGAAATTCTACTTGAAGCTAGAGCTGACTGACCTCAATTACAGGTTCTATTTGTGGGTTCCTGAACTTGACACTTGAAAACTCCCCTTGAGAATTACCTGTCAAGAGTGTGCTTTATCCAGCTGAAAACTAGGTTTATAAATACTCTGCCTCTGCAGATCATATGCCATTTTTAAAAAGAAATCATCAAGTTGGGGTGACCTTTTGGAAAGAGTCAGGAATTCAGGAACCAAATTGATTTTGTACCTTGGGAGCACTTGCTAGTTACAAAGCAGGTTTTTAAAAGATGTCAAATTGAATACATAACAATAACCCTGGAAAATATATTGATGATAAACTGATGCTTGGAGAGGTGAGTGATTTCCCCCAAAATGTACAGTGCTCAGTGGCAAATAAACAGTAAGTTAGATTCCCTTATCCAATAATCCTTTATCTGTTTGCCTTCCTGCCAGGAATAAAGTAGTCATTATCAGAAACCTCTCACTTTTTAAAACATAAATTGAAAACAGACCCAGATCTGTATTTTAAGCCTCTCAGTGTGATTGGGATTGTAGCAATAGTTTGCTAATTTGACACCACTAAAACGCTGAAAATGTACAAAATGATGTAAAAATAAACTGTTATAAAATTTTAAAAAAAGTTAAAAAATAAGAAGAACCCACTTTCAAAATAAATATGCATAAAATACCATGCTGCTTGGATGGATCTCACATTTGACTTGGATATTCAAGTTCATTCACATTTGGCTCCAAACACTTCCAAACACCCTCCTGTCCCATTGCCCATGCTCTGTATTTTATTCTTTAATTAATTTTTTTAAAAGATTTATTTATTTGTGCATACAGAACTGGGGTACAGGCCAGAGGCTCAGGGGCGGTGAGAGGCTTCACCAGAGACAGAGTGGGGAACAGAACAGGCAGATCGATGAAGTACACTGCTGAGGGGTGCAGTGGGCGGGTCAGGAGAGGTCTGCCACGCCATGTGGTCACCTCCGGGGCAGGCGGGAATCGAACTCATGAGGAAGCGGCTTTAGATTCTCAGTGCTGTGCTTTAACCCGCTGCGCCACCAGGGAGGGCCCTTAAATTAATTTTTGATGGAAGCAATATTTGCTTACCCTACAGGTATGACACCACCCCATAGTCCAGTACCATAGGGAGATGAAACGGGGTTCCTGTTTCCCCATTCAGAGAAATGTCGGATGACCCCACAGAACCCCCAAACCTCACCCAGGTGTCCCCCGGGCGAGGGGGGGGAAATGTGGGCTCCTGCATCAAGCAGGACATTGACCAGAACAGGTTTCACTAGAACAGCCGTCACGATCAGCAGAGGAGAACAGCAGATGCATTTCTGGACAAAGAAATACTCGCCCTGTTTCCCTCCCCACGGTGCTGCCGCTGTCAGAGACAGGCAGGCGGGAAAAGGACAAACAGCGATGGCAGCCCTCAGCCAGCCCAGCTTCGTGGGCCGGTCTGCCCGGGAGCATGGCGGGCAGGGCGCTGTCACTCAGGAGGATCATGCTGCTCAAACGCTGCAGGTGCCTTCCCAGGCTGTCCAGATCTTACCTTGGCGGCTTCTTGGAAGCAAAGATCTGCACACTGGATTCATGTCACCCTGACGAGAACCCTGGAAAATTCACTCTGGGCCTCACCAGGGAAGAACTTACCTGTGTGTATCCACAATTCAATTGGAGCAAAATGCTTGCGAGGCCAAAGTTACTTAAGTTCAGGTCCCTGAACTTGGGCCCGTGCTTCTCCTGGCCCATTCCCCTGAACACGCTGAGTCTGGGCACAATGGTGTCTCTTCTGTGGTCCCAGCAGGCCTGCCGTTTGCCCATCTCCACTCACGCCCCACACCGCATCTGACTGACTCTGCTCACTCCTCTGTAAAAGAAAACACCCTGCACCACCCTGTGCACACCTGCAGGATGCTCCTGCTGGTACCTCTCCTGTCCTAACTCTTTAAAGTCTTCCCTTGCCAAAGCCCAGAGTTTGTTTATATATGTTGCTGCTCACCAGCTGATGGGGGAATTCTCTACACACACCCATCACACCTTCTTACCAGTGGGGTACTTACTAAAGCACCCTGTTTCTCATTACCTTATTTAGGTAAATTCTAATGATTTATTGCTTGAGTCCAAAGATCAGTGACTCATTCACCTCTAAATATAATGGGTTCACTTGCCTCTTGCTGTGTTTTCTCCAGGCCTGTAGACTCTTTGCTTGTCTTGGGCCTCTTTTTCCCTAAAAAGCCCATCCTCCCACCAGACTCTGGCCCTTATTTGCAATATTTAAGTCAGGGTTCTTCAACCAATGTTGACATTTGGTTCCTAGGGGGTGTTGGGGAGTTGGGAACATCTCTAGTTTTCCTAGTTGCCAGGAGGCGGTTATTGCAATCTAGGGCCCTAGGGTGCCGCTAAACCTCTTACAATGTCCACGACAGTCTTCTTGACAAAGAATTATTCAGCCCCACTGTCAACGGTGCCAAGCATGAGACACACTGGCCACTGATGCTGGCAAATGTAATCAAAGAATGCTTGCTTGCTTCCTCAAAAACTGAGAAGGGACAGAAATACTGATCTAAGACCTAGATATACCTTCATTCCATCAATCTCCTATTTTTTAAAGCTTTCTGGAGAAACAAGGATCCATAATTATGCAACAAAAATTTATTGATTAGTTTGCAACATTGGGCACAACATATATTAACTTCATCACATGGTTACAATCCAGTATTTGTGCTTTGCAGGATAAGTAAACATTCATTTGATCACAACAAAAGTCTACACACAATATTCTGGAGTTGTTTAAAAAATAAATATATCATTTCCAGTTAACCACACAAGAACTTCCAGTTTGAGATGTTGGATGCAGTTTAGAATATGATGTCTGGTTAATGTGTCACTTAAACTTAAATTTGGGTTATTTGTGATAAATGCCTCATGAACCCTGGGAATGACCCCCCAAAGTGGAGAGTGTGTGTGGGGAGCTTTCTTGATATTTCAGAATGTGGATGACTTACGAGCTCTGCATCGAGGAAGGGGGCCTTGCTCATATCTACAATGATTTCATCACCTTTAAAAACTAGTGTGCAAACAGTATCTCAGGAATCTTTAATAAACACCCTCTTTAATCAAGAAAATAAAAGCCAGTGGAGCTAATTATTTGAGACAGAAGCCTCCTCAGGGAGATACCTATATCTTTTAAAAGAGTAAATCTCTGTTATTAAAATACAATAAAGTTTTCTTTTTTCCCAAATGAAATGCCTGTAGCTTTGCATCAGGCGTCTATGATCCCGGCTGGTCATATCACAACCTGCATCCATCCTCTGAAGAACAGGTCTGCCCTGTGGGTACTACACACTACTGAAACAGGGGCACTGAGCTCATGTCAATGTCTGATGTCAGACAAGAATCCCCTCATGTGAACCCTTTGGTCAATTATTATTTAGGACAACAATCTCTTATCATTTACAATAAAAATAAAATGAAAGCTTATGCCTTATATAGTTGAATACACAAGCAAGTTTTTTTTCTCAAAAGACTTTTTTTTTTTTTTAATAAAAAAGCAAGCTTTCCCTTAGGGTAGGAATTCTATAATCAATTCTATAATCATGACATCCAACTAATGAAGAGACATACATGATATCTTTGATTGATCTTCCTCTCTTCTCACTGAAAGGCAACAGTTTCATGGGCTGTTCTGGGGAGATAGAGTACTTATCAGTGAGCTGCAGTGAGTAAGGAAAATCACGTCGATAGAGAGCATGGATTTCTGTTAATATCCACTGATATTGGTTTGAAAGTGCAAACTTTCATATCAAAATTCTGAAAATTTGTCAGCTATACCTTAAGACTTTATTTGGGCTAATGCCCCCTTAAGTTTCTCAGAAATGTAAAGTAAAGGTCCCAAAAATATCTTGAACAGTGACTTTGTTTCCAGTGATTTTGAATTAGTAATTGGAGACATGACATGTCATTTTATATTGTCAAAAATATGTAAGTGCAGTTTTCTTGGTGTTTGAATCTAGCGATAAGCTTTTAATTTGAGTCCCATTAAGGTTTCATTAAGACCTGTTTTCCAGACTTTTAATACAAGCTATTTTGAAATCAGCCACAGGTTGTATTGATCTGTACAGACCTATATTTTCTTCACATTTTTTTTGTGCAAAAAGTCTTGAAAAGCAGATTTTTTTTAATAGTTCTGCTAATGTGATGTAATGGTTTGAGAAAATTCAGAACAAACCACTATAATCTAAGCTGGACTAAAGAAAAAGAGCACTCTGCAGGACAGTGCTGCCTTCTTACCCCAGCTCCAACAACCAGTCAAAGAGACTTGGGGTGCCTTCCTTTCGCTCCTCATGCATTTTGCAGTACTGGACAACTGCGTGGAAGATGTCCCCCACTTTCCAGGACTTCTGATGAACCAGACGCACAACATCTAGAAACTAAAATAAAGCATAGAGTTAAGACTCACCTCTCTCAGAAGGTCCTCAAAATCATCTCATTCTACTACTCTTCCAGAGGCAAAAGATCTCCAGGCTATTTTCAAATGGCACTAGTAACAGTTTATTTTCTTTTTAAACAGTTCAAATTATCATTTTAACTGAATGATATTCTTCACAACAATAGTCTTCCATGTGGGATACTAGTTGGAATTCTTCATTCCAGAGTCAGTCTTCTGGACTGGTGAACAATTTCCTGAGGTCTACTTTCTTCTCTGGGTTGGCCTCTTTCTGAAAGGGCTCTATAACATGTTACTAGCCCCTTCTATCTGTATCACAGGTAATTTCATTGAATGTGTAAAGAAAGGCCAAATAATAAAGTAGCAAACATTTGGGTTGGGTCACCTCATTCCATCTTGAAAAGTTCCCCTCCCCATCACCAAAATCAAGAGAAGCTGGATTTTCATTGCAAAAGGAATTTCAGTCAACAGCCCTGTGGAATGAACACTGACTATGAATGAGAGCTTGAGAGCTGAAAAGTTGCTACTTGGCATCCATATGTTCTTCTAACATCCTGCATAATGCTCTTTGTTCTACAGCATCGTGTGTATTTCAGGGGTAAGAGACTATCACAATGATAGTTATTTAAAACATTGGGCAAAGGATAGGCTAGGAATTTGGTATAGTTTTACAATAAAGAAGGATCTCTTTGTTAGAAAAGATAAGAGTTGTGGTTCAGTTACTATTTTCTCAGTATTTCCTTCTAGGACATTTTTGCTTTGTTCTTTTGTGTTTGTTCAGACTTTCAAATTGAGCCAGAAACTGGAATGTCCATTTTTTTTTTCTGATTTTTTCCCCTCTCTTCAGTTTGAATTTGTTAATTCATTTCAGTTACTGGGACGCTGTCATATAGAGAGCTATTAACTCAGACTTCTCCAGCTGTGGTAGCACAATTTGCACAATTAAAGAAATCAGCACTTGATTGTACATGCTTGCTTTGTGTTGGCTTAATCAGAATAAAGAACTTTTCTAGGTTGTAAAATGAAACACTTAACTTTTTACACAGACATATAAACATAATCTCAAAGAATTTTAGGGTGATATGAAAAGGAAGACAGATGGTAACCAATAACAATTACATTATAGATTGTATCCTCAGTGGGGCAGGACAGCATCTCAGCCATCATTCAATATCTTGTGTCTGTACCCAATAGGTGTTGAACAAATATTTGCTAGTGACAGGAGAAACGAACAAATGTGAGTCAAATACATTTAAAATGATCAAGATTACTTGAAATGTGGGTTACTATCCAGATTAATCAAGGTTGAGCTTTAAGAATTTATCCTTGAATTTTAATATATGCACATCTATCATTAAATATATGAATGGTGGTATCATAAGCACAGGTTTCAAACTATATTACAAAGCTATAGTAATCAAATTGGTATGGTATTAGAATAAAAATAGACACACGGACCTACAGAATAGAAATGAGAGCTCAGAATAAACACACACTTATATAGACAGGATAATCTATGACAAAGGAGCCAAGAATATGCAACAAAATAAGGAAGCCTCTTTTAACAAATGACAATGGGAAATTGGATGGCCATGTGCGAAAGGATGAAACTAGGTTACTATCTCAAACCATACACAAAAAATTAACTCACAATGGATTAATAATGTGGATGTAAAACATGAAATCAAGAAGAAACATTTAAAAAAATGCTTCAAGTCATTAGCTTCAGAGATGTCTGTAGGGAGTCAACTCCAATAACAAAGGAAATGAAAGCAAAAAGAAACAAATGGAACCAAGTTAAACTAAAATGCTTTTGCACAGCAGAGGAAACTATCATAACAGTGAAGTACTATTTCTACTCCAACAAATGAGAGAAAGTATTTGTACATCTGACACAATTTATAAATCCAAGATTTACAAAGAATTTATGTTATTGAACAAAAGGAAAACAAGTAACCCAATGGGAGGGGGGGAATGGGTAGAAGAACTAAATAGACATTTCTCTAAGAAAGACATGCAAAAAACCAATAAGCACAGGGAAATGCACAACAAAATCATGCTGAGATATCATATCACACCTATGAAAATAGTCTACATCAAAAAGACCAGAAATAACAAATTTTAACAAGGTTATGGAGAAAGAGAAACTCTCTTATACTGTTGGCTGGGAGTGCAGACTGGTCCAGTCCCTATCAAAAACAGTATGGAGTTTTCTTAAAATATTAAAAATAGATTATTATTTGATCCAGAAATTCCACACATAGGTATCTATTAGAATACAAACACACATATTTGAAGGGAAATATGTTCTTCAATATTCAATGTAGCACTATTTACAACAGACAAGTTGTAGAAGAAAACTTAGCACCCAAGGAAAGAGAGTAGATTAAAAAGATGTGGTACATATACACAATGGAATACTAAAAAAGATAAAACCTTGGAATTTGAGCCAATATGGATGGAAGTGAAGGAGATTATACCAAAGTGAAATAAGTCAGAATGAGATAGACAAATAGCATATGGTTTCACCTATATGTAGAATACAGAGGAAGAAAACAAAGTAACAGACAAAGACAAGCCAAATAACCCTGGAAATTTGACTGGAGAGTTGAGGCTATCAGAGGAAGGGACAGGTAGGGAGCAAAAGGTGGAAATAGCCCAAAGGACTAGGGGTACCTTAGTGGTAAGTATGAACTTGTACCTCTAAATCATAATCAGTGTTTTGAATCAATGTTACCTCAATAACAAAGTAACAGAAAAAAAAATAAACGAAGCTACTTTAAGTTGGAAAAAAATATACATGCCTGTCTTGGGGCTACTTATTCAATATTTTTCTGTCAATAGGGTGCTTCACACGATTGGAAACTGAATCTAGGCAATGACAAATGGAACGAGATTGAGGCAGTGGCACTTGAAAAGAAGCAAACATGGGACTGGCCTCCTGGGGCACAGTGGCTGGGTGTGGCAGTTACTCTGAGAGGGCAGGATACTCTCTCTTGACTGTTCACTACCACAGTGATGGGGGGTCAGCTCCATTCAGCTCCATCAACCTTACTGATAGAATCTCAGATACTATTAGTTGTCTCAGTCTCTTTGCTGAACTTCTGGTTTGTCAGATTCCTGAACTTTTTGAAAAGACCATAAACCTGCTTAGGTTAAGGTTTGCTTTAAAATGCAAATAACTTCAGAAAGAGGAACTTGGCTATTAGTAAGTTATGGAGATGCATATAAATAATTACTTATATCTTGGTGTGTATGAGTGATCTGAGGCATAATTTTTATATTGGACACATAATTTTTACATTGAACAAAGTGAGACCTAAGAGAAAAAGGAGGAAAGGCTAGAAAGTCTTCACATGATTCACTTTTGTAGTTCTACCTGGTTGTCTGGCACAGAGGAGCTCTAGGTGAGAAGATGTGCCCATTGTCACTGGAGTCTCGTTGTGAGTGGTTCCTAACTGCCCCTTCTTGTCAGGCTTTTCCTCAAGGGTCACTGATGGCCTTACACCACACCCAGCCACTGTGCTCCAGGAGGCAAGTCCCATGTCAATACAAAGTCACAGGAACATAAAATCAGTCTATTATCTCTTCGTTAGTCTTTCTGAAAACCCTGGTGCTCTGAATCACCATGTTATTCCCATGTTTTGTCTGTAAGTCATGGCTCTAAGAGCCAATTCAAGTTCTGGGGAGACATAAACATTCTCTAAACCCCTTTCAGAAGACTCTATACCACAGACCCTTCTAGAAGCCTCTACCAGCCTCTTTGATCTCCGTAGGCTCTGCTGTAGGAGGGGGCACCTCTGGGAGCAAGCACAGATGCCTCACATGCCTCAGCAGGGAGCCCATTCTGTCAATAGTGTGTGCGCGGCCTTAGGCTAGACTCTGCCTCATGGTTTCTAAGCCCAGGCCCATAAGCTGAGACGATTTCTTATGTTTACAAATGAAGAGAGTGAATGTTTGTGTCCCTTTCCCCAATTCATGTAACGGAAACTTAACCCTCACTGTGATTGTTATTAACAGAGGGATCATTGGGAAATAATTAGGGTTAGAGGAGGTCTTGGGGATGACACTCTCATAACGGGAGTCACGCCCTCATAATAAAAGAGACCCCAGAGCTCATGCTGCCATGTGAGGACACAGCTGTGGAATATGCCTAAACCTTGCTCTTGGGCTTCTGGGCCCCAGAGCTGTGAGAAATGAATGTCGGGGTGTGAGACACTCAGGCTATTGTAGCAGTCACAGCTCAGACAGACAAATTCTTCCTTGGTTTTCCTCTGTTGTCTGTGAAACTAAGATTTGAAGGGCAGGATTTGGGAGAAGTGTGGTTCACAGTCAATGC